TTTGTCATTTTTGGTAAAAAGTGATTTTTTCAACTTCTTGTTAAAAACCGCAAGTCCAATTGCTTTGATATTACATATATAGGTACTACATGTGGACCTCTCTCAGATTTGTTCATTTTGTAATGATATCTTGAATTCACTAATTTTGGTGAATATTTTTGTCATTTTTGGTAAAAAGTGATTTTTTCAACTTCTTGTTAAAAACCGCAAGTCCAATTGCTTTGATATTACATATATAGGTACTACATGTGGACCTCTCTCAGATTTGTTCATTTTGTAATGATATCTTCAAATTCACTATGTTCAATTACCCACCATAGACTCCGGTCAGTCAAAATGACTATTTTGAACTGTAGGCATTAATCAGCGATTCTGCCGGTGACGGAGAGATAGAATCCAGGTCAGGGGAACCCCCATGACCTCAAGATTCTTTTACCCCTTACGTCACGAACCCACGTTACCGAGGCCACCTGGCAGCGCCACAGGTAGCCGTCCATCACTCTTATTTTCTCTCCGCCTCGAGTGGAGATGAAATCTAGCGAGCTTTGCTGGATCGCCTGCTTTTTTTTTCCTGTCCGGATTTATAGCTTGGGATGTATTTACAATATATAGATGTAATGACAGCACCAGGGCTCGCTGCCATTTTCTTTCCGGTCTCCTCGTGTTTTGAGTCGACCGTGCAGTGGTTATATTCAGAATTTACCAGCATAGAACCCGCATCCGAGATACTTTGTCGTAGCTATGTGCGGGTTTCGGGGTTTTTGCGTTAAAGCGTGTTCTTTTTTCACTGGAGTTCTGAGGCCTGAGATTTTCTTTCAGAGCCATCAAATTCGCTGAGACTGACCACGTCACAGCAAGGTCGCGCGTCCAGTAAACAAATCGGTTAAAGTGAGTTGCGTGTTTTGCATGAGTGGAAAGTCCTCACGCTCGGCTACCGGTACTTCATGTACCGGGACGTCGAGTAAGAGGCCCGACGGCGGAGGTACCGATATTTTTCTCAGTGCAGGGCAGGGCTTTCAGGGCAGGGCACACGTTGACCCCCCTACTTTCAGCCAGCTAGGGTTCGTCACGCGGTAACGGTACAACGGTAACGAATTTTTCCTTGTGTCCGGTCCCCGCTGTGGGTTTTGACTCCTTTCTTACCGACCCATGGGCGTCTCCAGAGGGAACCGACCCTGTCATGAGATGCACAGTCGAACACGCTCCCTCTCACATTTTTAAAGTGAAAGGAGATGCAGTTTGCTCGCGTCGGATACAGCCGGTACTCCGGGCAGTCCCTCAGAGTCTTCCATCTGTATGACTCGGTGAGCCACGCTTTTAAGGTGAGGCGGAGTATCATCGATCCCAGTGATACGATGTATATACCTCCACCCTTGATCCTAAAACGACCACCTAAGGTTGCTTCAACGCTTATGGGATCACAGGTGTCGGGATCCAAAGCAACCCCGTCGGCAAGTCTCTCCCTGTCCGCCTGAGTGCGGAGTGGGACGCAGAGCACGCAAACGGTGTTGATGGGCGGCGTTGGTCAGCCGCGG